TCAATCAATCAATCAGAATAGAGCTGGAAAGGGACCTTGGGGGTCATCTAGTCCAACCCCCTGCTTGATCAATCAAATCAATCAGAAGAGCTGGAAGGGGCCTTGGAGGTTATCTAGTCCAACCCCCTGCTCCAGCAGACCCCATATCATTCCAGGCAGATGGCTGTGTGCAGCGCGATGCAAGGATAGGTTTTGCTACGGATCGTGGTTATTTTGCTTTTCATGTGGTGATGGACAACTTCACATGTTGTACATCTGTTTTATTTCACTTTTCCCTTCTCTGAGTTGTTTTTAACTGCTGCCAGCTCCCCAACATCACTCAGGTAAAATGGGCGGCCATATAGGTAGTCAGTATCCAAATCGAGTTGGAAGGGGGCTTGGAGGTCTTCTAGTCCAACCCCCTGCTCAAGCAGGAAACCCCACACCATTCCAGACAAGTGGCTGTCCAGTCTCTTCTCGAAAACCTCCAGGAATGAAACAAACACCCACAACTTCTGGTGGCAAGCAGTTCTACTGGTTAACCGTTTTCAGTGTCAGGAAATTCCTCATTCCCAGGTTGCTTCTCTCCTGGATTAGTTTCCATCTGTTGTTTCTTATCCTGCTTTCTGGTGCTTTGGAGAATAAATTGACTCCCCTCTTCTTTGGGGCAGCCCCTCAAATATTGGAAGGCTGCTATCACGTCCCATATTCCTCCACCTCCCATCATTCTTTTCTAGGCAAACCCAAAACTTACTAAGGCCACACCTAAAGCCCTGCATCCCAGTTTTGGTCACCACACTATAAAAAAAGACTCTAGAAAAAGTGCAGAGAAGAGCAACCAGGATGATGAGGGGGCTGGAGGCTAAAACATATGAAGAACGATTGCAGGAACTGGGCCTGGCTAGTCTAGGGAAGAGAAGGACCAGGGGAGACAGGAGAGCATCTTCCAATATTTGAGGGGCTGCCCCAGAGAGGAGGAAGGGGTCAATCTATTTTCCAAGGCACCCGAAAGCCAGACAAGGAATAATGGATGGAAACTGAACAAGGAGAGAGATTCAACCTGGGAATAAGGATAATTTTTCTGACAGTAAGAACAATTAACGGATGGAACAGAAGTTGCCTTCAGAAGTTGTGGGAGCTTCATCCCTGGAGGTTTTCAAGAAGAGACTGGACTGCTCTCTGTCCAGAAATGGTGTAGGGTCCCCTGCTTGGACTGGGAGGGGTTGGACTAGATGACCTCCAAGGTCCCTTCCAACTCTATTATGATTCTGCTATTCAGAAGTGGTGGGAGCTTCATCCCTGGAGGCTTTCAAGAAGAGACTGGATGGCCACCTGTCAGAAATGGTGTAGAGTCTCCTGCTTGGGCGGGGTGGGGAGGTGGGGTTGGACTAGATGACCTCCAAGGTCCCTGCCAACTCTGTTATTCTGTTATTATTTTGTTACTCAGAAGTTGTGGGAGCTTCATCCCTGGAGGCTTTCAAGAAAAGACTACACTGCCCTCTGTCAGAAATGGTGTAGGGTCTGCTGCTTGGCGGGGGGGG